CCAAAAAAACTTGAGAAGAAAATCTCATGAAAACTTTTCATGAAAACTTTTGGTGAAATAGGCTACAGAACATTATTCGCATCCCATATGAAGACCCCGAGTCTTGAAATTCGACTGAATAATTTCGGTTCGTATCCCCTTACTGATAATGAAAATATAATATCTTCGAATTCTTCCCGAGTGAATAGTACCTTAAATGACATATACCGTTTGTAAAATTCATCGCTTGCCATTGCACCGAATCGAATTAACTTCAAGCAATCGCCGAGTTGAGTTCTCAAATTCACGGCTTCTGTTGCATCCAAATCATTTTGTTCGCATGCGTATTTGGTCCACGTCAAACAGGCATCAAATACATCGGCTTCTGTGCAAACTAAATCCAGCTCCAGAATTCGCTTCAAAATACTTTTGTTACAGCGTTTGAATGCCTCGGCAGCAAAAACACCTTTCGGCGAATTGATGATTTTGCCCTCACAGAACTCGATTAATTCATCATTTTTGAGATTCACTGCCAAGGTGTGAATAAATGGGGTAACATTGTTGACAGCGCCACGCCAAAGCGCTTGCCCGGTCAACTACAGTCAGTCGTAACGCAAAGTGTCACAAGCATGTCCCATTTTCTGCATACACTCGTTGCGTTCATAAGCGTGTGTATGTGAAAAATGGTACAAGCTTGTGCTACTTTGCGTTGCGATTGACGTATGCTTCTGATTGAAAAATAACCAGATTAAAGTTAACTAAAACAAAATGAAAAGTAGATCCAAAAAAAATTAGAAAACATATTTCCTGAAAGAGTACCTTTTCTATTTATATTTGGCAAAATTTAAAAAAAAATCATAGAGTTGGTTTCGCTGCAATAAGACTTTGAAATGGATTGTTCACAATTAATTTCTACTTTCATTCTGACTAAACAACAAAGTCTTGTTGCAGCAAAACAAAGACTATGATTTCTCTAAAACTTGGTTGAATATAAGTAGAAATTATACTTTATTAAAAAATATATCTTTTAACTTATTCGGAATAAATTTTCATTTGGTTTTAGTTCATTTTAATTGGTTTTTTTTTCGAACACAAGCATACGTCAATGCGTTGCAGTAGTAACCAAGTGACAACCAACGTGAAGTTGGCTGCGTTTCCCGGTATGCATTATGTTCACCCTTTGTTCACTGCCAATCGATAAACCCAGAACCTATTATCCAGTGTCAGTTGTCTTTTGAGAAACACGGCAAACGCGTTGACATATTCGAGGACATCGTACTTGTCGGTCAAACGAACAACAGTCTCGATATTTTCCATGGTTAATGACACCTCATCCAAATAAAAAAACTGGTGAAACTCCTTGAATGCTTTGTCATCCGCATCGACGATCTCAACATCGCCTTTCCCTGGCAACGATCCGAAGAACATTTTTCTGAACACTGGGCTGAGAACAGCTAAATTGGCTTTGTTAGCCGGAGCCTTTTCACTCTCATCATCGACGTTGAACACGAAATGGACATCAGCAAATTCTTCGTTGAGGTATAATTTTTCACAAGCTTCGAAAGCAGCGGTATTCTTCAATGCACTGGCCATTTCAATGATCGTAAACAAAATGAATTGAAAATTAAGATGAAATTCTTTTTATCTGATTACGTTCAAAAACGTTGTAGAAGCATTGAGCTGTTGTAATGTCGCTGCGAAATGAATAAGCAAATCGGCATTCGAAAATATATATGTGCGTATTCATTTTTGCACCGGTTTTCAGTCCAATCTGTCATTTGTTGTGCATATGGCGAAAAAGAGACAGCATGAACAGCAAAGCAAACACATGCAAATCACTGCCGGTCACATCGCATGCAGATGAGACTAATTTCATTTGTGAATGTGTGTATGTGAACCGGGCGAATTGAGGCTGTGAGAATGAAAATGGCAATACACAGGAATAAACATTCTGAAACGCATCAAGAACAAAAATTCGCAAAAATGAATCATGAGTTCTGAATATGCAAAAGTGAAACATGAATTTACATGGGCAGCATAGGAGGTTCATGGTTCACTTTTGCGTATTCAGAACTCATGATTCACTTTTGCGAATTTTTTTCTTGATGCGCTTCAGAATGTTTATTCCTGTATTGCCATTTTCATTCTCACAGCCTCAATTGGTTGAGTTTTTTTTTTTGACAATTGTCCATAATAATTCTTCCGTCTGAATTCTGATTGTGGACAATTCAATAATGAAATTTCAATTAGTTATGCGATGCATGATTTTCTTACCTCCTGAAGATTGAACGTACTTCATCAATTCTATTGGATCCATACGAATAACCCTTTTGATATAAAAACAATTTAAACTCAATGCGAATTACTCCGACAATTCTGTCTCAATTTTATTTTAATTAAGCAAAGAAATGAATTTTATTTTGATTTTACATGGAATCGGATGTCGTGTTTGTTTTTTCATGTTCAAACAATATCATGTTATAGCCTGTTGACGCCTAAAGACTGAATCCAACCAGATGTAGAAGTGTCATAGCTTGTATGAGATGGGCATCGATGAAATTGGAATGTCAGACCATCTTCTACTTCAACCGTTGGTTTCCACGTACCGTAGTAATACGATTTTCCAACTCCCATGAGCACTGCAAAACGAATTTCATACATAACATGTGGTTTGATCATAATCGGTTGCAATAAAGACACTTTCAATCTATTGAGATCCCAAGTTTTTGATGAGCCCTCGTACAAAACCTTCTTCGGGAATTCGCTGTTAATTTCTGCAATTGTTACGTTAACAGCATCGTTCTGTTGATCGATATAATGCATATTAAATGTTGGAGCAGAGCACATTTCTCCCAACAATACTGTTTGATTTGATGTGAACCAAGCGACTTCTGAGCCCGTGAGATGGTTTGTTGGTGTATTCACAGCTTGTCGTTGACACAACAAAACTTCATTTTCATTCCTTTTGAAGCGTCGGGGATTTGGTTTGAATATTTTCGGCTCATATCCTTTCGCTGTTAAAGTAAGCACAATGTCCTTGAATTCATCTGGAGTGAAGAGTCCATCGTTTAACATCACAAAAGTGGAAAAGTTTTCAATTTTCATTGCATTGAATCGAATTGACTTCAAACAATCACCGAGTTGAGTTCTCAAATTCTCCGCTTTTGTAGCATCCAAATCGTCTTGTTCGCATGCGTATTTGGCCCACGTCAAACAGGCATCAAATATATCGATTTCCTTGCATATCAAATCCAGTTCAATGATGCGTTTCAAAATACTTTTATCGCAACGTTGAAATGCGTCGGTAGCAAAGATTTTCTTTGGCGATCTGGCAATTTTGTCCTCACAGAACTCGACTAATTCTTCATTTTGGAGATTAACGGCCAACTGATAGCCCCAGCACATGTTATCCAATGTCAGTTGGCCTTTGAGGAACACGGCAAAAGCGTTGACATGTTCGAGGACATCGTATTTGTCGGCCAAACGAACAACGGTCTCGATATTCTTCATGGTCAAAGTCATCTCACCCAGGTAGAACAACTGGAGAAATTCCTTGAATGCACCGGCATCCGCATCGGGAATGGGAACGTCTCCATTTTCTGGTAACGATCCAAAGAACATCGTATCAAATACCGGGCTTAGAGCTGCCAATACATTTTTGTTTGCTGGAACTTTTTCAATTTCGTCATTGACTTTGAATACGAAATGAACGTCGGCCAATCGCTCGTTGAGATACATCTTTGCGATCAACTCCGTCGCAGCGGTATTTTTCAACACGTTTGCCATTTCGAGAATACTAAATGCAATATCACAAAAGATAGAGAATTGATTCAAATGTATTAAATATTATGAAAGTTATTTTATTTTCATTCAACACCGCCAAGCTCTGGCTGAATATAATAGATCGTGATCAATTTTCAAGAAATCTGAAACTTCAAATAATATTTTAAACGAATACTGTGCCACGATTGAATATTGTGAATTAAGTTTGACCAGTAGTATAATGACGTGAAAATTGTGCGATTTCACAACGATCAGAATTAAAAATATACTGACTGCCACTGGGTAGTGGATTTTGTTTGCAAAAATGAGAGTTGTTATTCACTCAAACGTTCAAAAACTAATGATATCTTTCAACATCTTGATAGTTCGTGTTGCAGCAAAGTGAAAAAAAAAACAATTAGGCATTCGAATCATTTCGAATGTATGTATACCTTGTACTTTGATCCTGTCCCTTTTTATATACTATGAAAACAAGACAGAAAATGAAAAAGAGCAAACACATATAATGCAAAGCCGATTATATCGCATGCAGAAGAGACTAATTATCATTGTGAATGTGTGTGTGAACTGAGGCGCATTTGTTGTGTTCCTTTTCACACTTCTGACAAATGTGTGATTCTTTCACATGTTTTCTGAATATGGGCATATTCAAATGATGCTTCAATGCGAATTATGAGAAACGCAAAAAACTGTCGAAATGTTCACCCTGTATGTCTGACCATTTGATGTGATCGATATATTCTTTTTTATCATTATTTTGATTGTTAGGCCAAATATCAAAGAGGGAATAAACGGACCATTTTTCTTGTAGAATAATTTTTAGTAGTTTTAATGTTGTTCGTTTCTATTTCAAGTAGACGGGCTATTCAAAATAAATATAGTGACTTTTGGTTGTGTATTAAAGCCAGTGACTGTGCGAGCGATCCCAGGTATGCTGAGTCCAAATTTTTTTTCAGCGCGTCTTGAATTCCAACAGAAAAAAAAAATTTCTTGTTTCTTTATAATGAACCCGTTCGTGCTCTCGTAAAAATATCCTTGATTAAAGTTAAGGTCACAGACACTTGTTGAATAAATTTGATAATAAACTAAGTCGTGGCTCACATTGTGAATGGAAATAAAGTTTAAACAACTACAAAGTTAAAGGTATTCGATTTTCTCATAGAAATATTCGTGTTGAAATGTTGTGATTAGCCGTGACTATGGGTCGCCCATTTTGATAATTTTGGTAGACTACTGACTGGCTCAAAATGATTATCTGGAACAAAGTAGTTATTTACGTTTGTAATAACTCAAGTTATTCGTTTTAAGTTAGTCAATAGACGGCTAAAAAGTCTGAAATCAGCTATCCACTGTCATGGATACTTACAACATATTCACTAGAATACTTACCTTCTGAAATAGGCGAGAAATGTTCACTAAGTTCATGGAATTTTTGTGATTTTGTTTTGTTTTTCTAAGCAATTATTTCGCATAACTAAATAAAGTTGGAAAACATCCTTAGTTTCTGGGTTGGGTCTAAAATTGACTTTATTGTTTCGCAAAAAGAAAGAATTTTATTGCTTAACCTTTTGACTGTCTTTCCTGACATTTTTGTCAGTCGCTCCGAAAATCTTGAAAATAGTACTTTTTTAAAATTATTTTTTGATGAAACTCTAGGTATTCTCTTTTCGATCATTTTTTTTCTTATTTCCCAAAAAAAAGTGAAAAAATAAATCTATTTTCCTATGAAAACCCAGCCCGAAGCAAAAAAAAGTCATTGGCTGTCTTTCCTGACAAAAATGTCAATATATATTTAAACCAATAAATAAAGTAGAAAAAAAAGTTTTTGAGCAAAACGAAGAATACCACGTTGAAGAAGACGCTCTCGTGATCTCAAAACCATATTTCGTTTCATTGGGTTACGGTATGATTTAGTGCATTTTGGTTTTTTGAAAGATTTTTTGGAAAGCCACTGTTCTCTGATCACATTTAGGGCTGTAACTTTTTTTGTAGAATAGCTATCACCACAAATAAATTGCCTGTGAATAGTGGAATAAATTACCATTCAAACGCGCTATAAATTATTAGGATCGGTGCAGAAGTTAGAATTTTATAGTCCCTAAATATGTGGAGTGAACAATAAAACTAGTCTACTTCACTAAATACCGGGCTAAATATACACAAAATAGAGAATAGTTTTTGCCAGTTTCAAAGTTTTATCATAAAGAGCATTGAATTAAGATAAATTAAGACATAGTTTGCTTACTATACGTCCACTAACAAAGAGGTGACATCTGTACAAAAGCGCTCGCGCACTTCAAAAACCAAGAAAAATCCAAAAACTGAATACAAGCCAAAAACGATGTTCCAAAAAGTATGCATATACATGTAATATATATTACGTATAAAAGCCGAAACTACTAAAAACGAAAAGAGAATGTTGTATTTTATTATTTATGATGAAAATTTAAAAAAAAACACTGGATTTTATTAATTTTTCCCGTACATTTTGTGGGTGACAAAAATGTCAGGAAAGACAGCCTACGTTTCATTTAGGTGAAGACAGTCAAAAGGTTAAACTGGTACTGGGCTGGAATTCTAAGTCATTCCACCAAAATCGTTCGGAATTATTTTTTTCGTACATACGACCATATTGGAGTGAAAGAGAGAGATTCCACTATTTTTCAGCGTCCCACCGGAATTATTCCGATAACTCAAGGAAGAGTGGATTGTAACTCAAGGAAGAGTGGATTGTGTGAGAAATAATTCCGGTGGGACGCTGAAAAATAGTGGAATCTCTCTCTCTTTCACTCCAATATGGTCTTATGTACGAAAAAAATAATTCCGAACGATTTTGGTGGAATGACTTAGAATTCCAGCCCTGAATTCATTGGGATGAAATGTTTTTCATAATTCATTTATTTGCTGTTTCTTTTGCCATATTCTAAATTCAAATTTAAATTCTGTTGAAGATCAAATCAGAAATCCAGCCATTCGCAAGGTTATCGTAGGTCAGGGTTGGATTTCAATGAAATTGAATTTTAGTCCCGTCTTTCATTTCCACCATCGGTTTACAATCTGAGTATTAGTGGCATCCATCGAAAGATCGAACTCCCAAACGAACTTAATACATACGTTGAGGCCTTATCAGAATTGGCTGTGGGAAAGACACTTTAAGTTGCGTGTTTAAAAAGCCAACCCAAGTCTTAGATGTGCATTCACGAAGAACTTTTGGCGACACAGTTGATTGAAAAGCAAGATCATCGTGCTCGGTGATCGTTACTTCAACCTCAGTTCCAGATATTTTAGACGAACCATTCCATGCGCTCGCAGTGTGAATTTCTCCCAAGAGTACGTGATTATTCGATGAAAACGAAGTTACTTCTAGGTTTCGCAGGCCAGTATGTCTCTACGCTGAGCCTACAATATTCCGCTGACATTCCAGCAGCCTATTTGACCAAATGTTTTCATGAAAAGTTTTCACGAGATTTTCTTCACAAGTTTTTTTGGTGAAACAAATGTATCTAAATGTAGCAATGAGAAAATCTCAATAGAAACGTGAAAATATTCTCTTTTTTTTGACATTATTTTGAGCACAAATTTTAAATTTTCATTTATTTTTGAGCCAACCATGATGTGATCTCACATTTTTGTGAAAAAATCTCGAAATTTCAAGTTGGCGCTCAAAATAACCCATTTTTTACCAAGGTGCAAAAGTGGGTTCAAAATAAGTAACCAATAGTCTATCTAGCATAATTTTCACCTGGAAATTCCGAAAAAACTGTCATATGGAAATAAAATTTTGCAGTTTTTCCGGAAAACCATATTTTTGTAGGCTCACAAACTGATCAATCAAAAACTGTTATGCTTTTTCAATAAATATTAACAGTCTATTTATGTTCCTCGGGATAAATTTATCCTAAGGATAAATTTTTTTGGTCAAAATACCAAAATTTCCAGCAAAATTCTTACTTTTGGCGTTGTAAATTGATGTTAAACATCATTTCTGTTCTTAATGGTTTCATAAATATGAAAAATTTCCAGTCATATCGAAATTTTGTAATCTATTTTTATACCAGGGATAAGCACTTCAGAGGTATAAAGTAAGTAATTGTTAGTTTTTTCCTCAAAACACAGTCGAACTTGGAGTTTAAATGAATAATATCTGGTTTTTTATCTCAAATTTTAAGGTTACGGACATTTCGAATCAATTTTTTGTCAAAAAATTTCAACATTTTGCTATACCAGGGATAAAATTTACGACCATGTAGGGACCTGATAAATTTATCCCGAGGAACATAAATAGACTGTAACTAAAAGTCTATTTAGAGTTATTTTGACATAAAAAAATGAAAAAAAAAAAATGTCAGATGGAAAATTCGTCTTGTAGTTTTCCAGGAAAGCCCAGGAAAATTTTTGTTCGATTTTTCGAACATTGGTCATTTACCCGGGATCCTTTATTATCTCCAAACCTACCCTGGGCTTCCCTAAGTACCTCCTGAACATAGGCTCAGAAGACTTACATATTTTGAAAAATAATGTTCAACACTTGCTTTTTGAGTATATGTCTGTTATTCTTGCCTATCTCTAGATCGAGATATGAATAGGGATGGCGAAAAATCGAACGCTGGTAGAAAATGGGATAATGTCAAAAAAATGAGAATATTTTCACGTTTTTATTAAGATTTTCTCATTGCTACATTTAGATATATTTGTTTGACCAAAAAAA